GTCTTAGGTAATGTGAGTCTAGGTGATAATAATTATGGTTGACACAGGATTATTTTATTATTTAAAAGCGTATGCTATTTGTCTTTTATTCAATAATACTTGGACTGATTATATGAATTATTAAGTTATTTTTAGTGCTCTTTATTGAAATGTGTTAGGTTCATAGACTAAATTAATATTTGGCATCCGCCAAATATTAATTTAGTATTTATAAATTAATATTTGGGGGATGCTCGTGAATGTTATATGAGGTAAGTGATATGTGTAATTTGCTACTTCAAATAAACATGATTCTTTTTATGAAGACACAAAGAAAGTCTTATGTCTCTTAAACACGTATCAAGTATCATAAGTGTTAATAATACAAGTATCTCAAAACGATTTATTACAAGCTGTAAACGATTTGATAGAATATGGACCGCTTCAAAATCTGTACAGCCCCATCAGCATTCTAAATACATTATTATACTCTACATTGTGTAAAGTTACTTCCGTAACATCTTTGTTAATGAGGCGATGATGCAGAACTTTTATCTTTTTAAACTTCGTGAGATTACTTTGATGTAATTATTGTCAAAAAAGAAAACCATTTTATAAATATTTAACACACGAAAAAGGGCCGTATAGACAGAATATAAATAATCTGGTCATTCCGGTATCTATGGGTATGCAGACGACAGCACAGTTGTAGAGAGATACCAACAAAGCGCCCGGGCCAGTCGGGATCAAATCCAGCCAGAAAGAGAGGCTATGGTTGAGCGTGTGTGTCTCATACTACAGGCAGTCTCCGAATGGAGCGATGCCAACCTCGTGAGATTTAATGCCTCCAAAACACAAGCGTGTCTTTTTACCGCTAAGAGGAGCCCGCTCACCTTGGCTCCTACTTTTCGGAATGTATCCTTGGAGTACACTGACCGTCATCAGTTGTTAGGGATTAAATTTTCTCTGTACCTAAACTATGGGCGGTTCATTGAGTCCAGAGCCAAAGCAGCCGCAAGGAAACTTGGTGTCCTAGCAAGGGTGCGGCGGTACTTCACGCCGGGGCAGCTTTTTACCTTATATAAAGCGCAAGTCCAGTCGTGCATGGAGTACTGCTGTCACATATGGGCTGGTGCTGGAAAATGCCACCTGGCAGCATTGGACTCAGTGGAGAGACGTGCTAAGAGGCTCATTGGTGACCTTGATTTGGTTGAAACCAATCTTATCAACCTCGAGTACAGGCGCAGAGTAGCCAGTCTCTCGGTATTCTATAGGAAGCATGCTGGCGTCTATCTTTCCATCCGAATACAATCTGGGCGTCTTCAAGGCAAGAGTGAATAGGCTTTTGTTATGATAAGACAGTGCGATTTACCATGTAAGGCTGCATCACTACTTACCACCAGGTGGGATTGTGGTCAAGCACTGGCTTAAAATAAGTAAAAAAAAAAGACAGAAATGCGCTTCATAATAATTGGCACGATAAAAAAGTTATAAAGATGACACTAAATCGCTACACAAAATTGTACCTAGCAGAGATTCCACTAGGATACCGTGTAAAATTTGTTAGTGAATGTTGTCAGACATTATACAAATTAATTTACGCGCGGCCGCCTCGGCCAATGCTTGTCGAGACATTCTTGAAGTTGGACGTAAGTTGTTTTTTCTTAAATTCTGCTCGTGTTACAATTTTTTAAATTGCTTGGCAAAAAAGTTACAAGATGAAAAACAAGCTAACATTATTAAACGTAGTCATTTTACATAGACAGATTTGTAAACACCGCACTTATGATACAGTTTTTATATATTATGCATGGATTTTTTTTAAATCAAGGAAGATAGAAACAACATCAATATCACTTCAAAATGATAAAATTAAATAACTTACATTAATCTGATAGACTACTTCCATATCATTACATATATCTTCTACAAGTTGGAATGATTCTTCAGTAGCTTTGTTACATAATACCAAGGCCATATGTATTGTTGATATAATACAGTAGTACGAGCCCTTAAAAGCTTGTGTATCAATGGTGAACTTCGAGTAGTCTTTTGACTTTTCAGTGATTGTATCCCTATGTTGTGATATTTCTAGTCGCATATACATCTGTAAGAATATTTTAAATATTACTCACGTTATCGTGACAGTCAATCAAGAGTCCACTAATGAACATAGATTACTCATATTTGGCGATCATCGTAGTAACCACGTTTGGCAGGGGAGTTGGCAAACGATTTTTTTAATTTTTTATTACTATCTGCTGCCCATCTCCTGGATAGTTTTCTTCTGTCGGCTCTTACGACACCCAATGGACGATATGCAGTAGTGGACATTTTTACACCGGCGCTCACATTAAAAATTAACACTATATCAAGGCTCTACCAAGACGGGTTTATCATTCTCGGCCGAGACCGAGACCAAGGCCGAGAATAAAATAAAATCTTGACAGAGACCGAGAGCCGAGATCGAGAATAAACAAATTGTGAAATAAAATATCAAATGAAATGAAATAAAAATGAATTATTTTAATTATCAAAATCAAATAACATAATATTGTAGCACGAATAAAGTAATTTTCGGCATTTTCACTCTTCAATGAATGTCGCCTCTCAAGTCCATCGGATAGTAATGAAGATATGTGATAAACTTCACTATTTCGAACCCTTAACAAAATAACATACAAATTAAGTTATAATCCCCTATCAATCTGTAAATCATATATTCGAAAACTCACTCGCTTTCCATTTCAAGTGTAATCAATTTATAAATTGGAATAACAAGTACACAGCCTTACACTGTGAGTACCACTGTGTCACACTGTGAGGTTATGCAATAACAACACAGTGTGAAGTTACGTACTTGTATGCACAGTTTGTGAGGCTCACAGCTACATAATAAAAGTACTTAATATTATTATTTACTACGAAGTACGAAAAATGGTGAAGTTATATAGGGCACACATGGTTAAGGTTTAAGCATACTATTGAGTATATACATACTAAATTTGAGATGATTGACTACGGATGAAGAAATGGTCCGCGTGCATCTAAGTTTGCGTTTTAGAAAAAGGGAGTTTAATATACACTACTCTCCATATCCTTTGCGATTTTAATAAGGCTAATTAGTCCAAACCAGAATCGTGTGCCTTCAATGTTCAGATCCCGGCCCATGTGGCCTTTACGTGGCAGAGTATCATCTCAAGTCTATTTGCAATTATTTCTATGTCGACAACTGGATTCAAAAAATCTGAAAAATAAACAATTAGATGCGCACTTTGAATTAGATTTTTTCTCAATTCATTGAAAATGTCGGCTAATTTGTTGTAAATTGTTTCATCTATATTTTGCCTTAACATTTCATTTGAAAAGTGTCGCATTAAGTTAAGGTCGTTTATGCATAAAGGGTTTACGTCAGGTAGTAAATGCCACCACGGCCTTTTGCATCGCATTTTTGCACTGTCCAAAATGTCATCCAGAATTATGAAGTACGCTTGAACCTGCAATTTTAAACTGTATTTGGTGAGATTTATTAAAATTTTATTAAAAAAAACCCACTTTTAATAATTGCTGTGGTATGTGCGTATTTTTTTATAGAATTGGGTGACAAACGAGCACACAGTCCACCTGATGGTAAGTGGTTGCTGCGGCCCATAGATATCTACATCTATCCTCGTTTGCGAATCAAAATGCAGATTCGTTGTCACCCGTGAGGACTAAGATGGAATGCTTCTTTTCCAGTCAAATGGGTCTCTGGTTCTCTACACTCACCATACGAAACACAGCAGCGTTAAGGCTGGTATTCTGTGAGAGCGTGGTCCTACCCCGGTCGAGCCGACCCATTCGTGCTACAACTATACTAGAAATATAGCTGCAGCATGGCTCTACCACGTAAAAAAACACATATTATGTGTAGATTGAATTCTAGGTAGGAAAGAAATTTATAGAACCACCTACTATACTATTATAACTTTTGCTCCATTATTGGATTATTGTATAGTGACACAAGAAAATCCATCATCATCATCATCAAGAAAGCGGCGCCTATTGGATTTGCCAAAAAGATGTTATGGATTTTATATCTATCTCGTTAACGCCAGGCGTAAATAACCCCGCCTTTATCCCCTCAATATACGCTGTGGCATCATCCTAGCCAGGTCTTAAGTTAATTGCTGTATGAGCAGATTGATCACATTATTTTTATATAATTTCATTATTAGAAATACTAGGTATATTGAGTACGTCGACCTTACCGTTTCTGTCAAACAAGCTACAGCGTAAGCTTGGTGCTTCATTTTCTCGTTTATATTCTCTGGTTTTTCCATTAACTCGTAAATATACAGCAGGAACTCTCCTTGAGTAATTAACTTATTTAGGGGATAATAATATTCTAAAACCTGTTTAGAGTGTTGTTGTTAGTGTATAAAAATTATAAATGAGTTTAAAAAAATAAATAACAAGCAATGATCATGATATGTGTGGATCCTGGCAAGAACACTAGGTCATAGTTATAAAATTATTACATTGTCATGGGTTTTTAATATGCACAAAGTCCACCCGATGGTAAGTAGTTGCTGTGGCTCATACATATCTATATCTATCGTCGATTACAAACCAAAATGCAGATGCGTTATGACCCGTGATGACTAGTATCTCGATTCCAGTAAAAAGGGGGTCCGGTTCTCTACACTCACCAAACGGAACACAAAAGCATTAAACTGCTATTTTACGCTGGTATTCTGTGAGAGTGTGGTCCTTCCCCTGTCGAGGTGACCTGTTTGTGTTACAGCTATACTAATAATATAGCTGCAGCATTGTTCTACCACGTAAAAACGACGTATAGTCGATATCATTTCTTTTCAAAATAGATTTAAGTTACAAATCTTACGAGTATTTAATATTTTTCAATTGGTACACCTTTGTCAAATTTTGACCACTTCATGGGTTGATTGCTGCAAAATACTTATTAGTATTAGGATATGTTGTAAAGATTAAAAAATTTTAATAATATAAGCACACAATACCTTTTTAATTCGGTCTTTCACATGTGTGTCGTTTAGATATTTGTTACGAGCCATCGCTGTGTCGATAAGTCTGGGATAGAAACTTTTAAATTCGGATAAAAATTTCCGTGAAACAGTTGTCGGTGCTTTTTGAACGGATGTCCTGTATATGTTATTAAATATTTTTATTTGTATGTTAAGTTATTAAATCAATGGGTATTTCTGTTCTGGCGCAAGAGAATCCGTTGAGCGCAAAGGATTCTGCTTCTGAAAGAATTTCGTTCCTTGGGTGCCGCAAGAATGGTCTTTCGATAGATGGCAATATAACCATCCCTTTACTTTAGATGTAACATACTGCAGCAGAGTGGTTAAACACAGCAGCGTTAAAAGTGCGAAAAGTCTGGTACATGACCATCAACCCGCCTGCCAACCGTGGTGATTAAATCACCTTTACAACGCCAAGGCTCACATCCATGAAACTTTTCAAGAGCATTAGTCTTTCCCAGACTAAGTAATATAATAATAATATTATGTATGTACTAATAACATGTCGATAGTTTTAAACGAGGTGCATTCAATAAAAAGTAAGAATTGGCTACAAACTCTTTGTAATATTAAAAAGTATATACTGGCTGGTACAGATGGTATATCTCTAAGATAACTAAAAAAACTGACTTACTGACTTTTTTTAGAAATAGAAGTGTACTCTTTTGCTTCATTTTATCTTTTTTTTCAATTTTCTCTCTGCGATTTATTGTAGCGTGACCAAAATAAACGAAATATATACCTATAAATGGACTACCAGACGTTTCGCTCTTACTATAGCGTGCATTACGTGTTCGTTTGGTTCGTTCGTTCGCTCTTACTTCTAATAAAAATTCTCAGATATGATTTAAAAAAACAAAGCATAAATAAGTGTAACTGACCATTGTGCACAATTCCTTGATATTTGCAATAACTTTCTACCACAAGCCATTGTAATGGTAACCGCTGTGATACTAACTACAGTTCAATATAGTACATTGGAAAGGTATACAACGCTTTTTTTAAAAACGTCATTGAAGTCCTAAAACTGAATTTAAACTACTTTTGTTTTACAGTGCTTCTGTTATTTAAGTCAGTATATTAACATTATCATTGTTCGCAGACTTGATTTAATGCCAATTTATGTCAAAAAAAGAAAACCAAATTCTTTCAAAGATTAGTTTCCTTCTAAATTGTAGACAGCTAGTTGCAAAAATATAACATTATATGCATAATAATATGTTTCTAGGAGTTTCTTTTTTTATTTATTAACACAACACAATTTACAGTTGGGAAGATAAAAGTTTCTTAAAATTATACTAAACTGTAAGCCAAAACATGTGTTTATGAAGTACATTGTAAAGAGTTACATCTGCTAAAGTTATAAATCATTCAATAAACAGTGGTTTTGCAATCAACCATCCAACAGATTACAAGAGGTCTTTTACAGATTTAAAACTAGAACAAAAAATAGTAGAAACATAAAACAGATGAGACCAATAGTTTCAGTTATTTCAGAATATCACGGATAGTACTATTGAAGACATTTGGATTTGAACTTAGAATATCAATATTTGGATGGTCCTGGGATATGTCATTGTAGTGGCGACACATCCTAACCACTGCGTTGTAATATGATATGTTATTACGGTATACTTGGAGTGAAAACAGTTTAGGCTTGCGATCACGGGCCCTGTAGTGAATATTTATGTTAATCGACGCAAGCAGGGACGGAGAATCAATCGTAGAGTACTATTTTATGTAGATATATAATCCCGTACTTTATGCGTCTCGTTTCCAGTGTAACCATGTTGAACTTCTGCAGCCTATCTGTGTAGGAGGCCAAATTGCGATGATAACCATAACGAAAAGAGAAACATTTCAAGAATATTTTTTGAATGCTCTCAATGCGGTCAGTATGTACGGCGTAAAACGGAGACCAAATGACTGCACCATATTCCAGAACACTCCGGACAAGTGAAATATATACATATACCATACTGTTCGGCTTTTTAAGCTGCTTAGTGTTTTGCAGGACAAAATCCAACATTTTACCACCCCTCATTGGAATATAACTGTAATGATTGCCAAAACTCAATTTATCCTCGAAAATTACACCCAAATCATTAGCTTGACTCTGCTTGTTAAGTTTTTGGCCATAGAGAGTATATTTAATGTTAGTTTTATATGTTTTTCTAGTAAAGAAATATACCATACATTTATTAATATTTAAGCACATGTGCTTGTCAGTACACCAGGTTTCGATATCAGATTGTAGTGCTTCAGCATCTTGAAGGGTAGCCACTTTGGAGAAAATTTTTAAATCGACCGCGCATAGTAAGCTGGGACCTTTCAATTGCGCAACAAGGTCGTTTATAAATGCAATGGACAGTAAAAGGCCAGGAATCGAGCCTTGTGGGATACCAGAGGTAACATGAACTGGGTTGGATAGTTCACCGTCGAAAAGCCATTAGCTGACTTCTTCGAAACAAATAAGATTTGAATCACTGAAGTAGCGAGTCATGTATACCCATTTGCGGACTCTGACTCGGCGGACTCTCATTTGCGGACTTTTAACAAAACCCAAGGGGCCAGCAGTTGGCTGACTTCATGGAGAAAGAGGGACTCTTTATGATGAACTCTTTCTTCCAGAAGCGGCCCCACAGGAAGTGGACCTGGTCGAGCCCCGACGGTTCGACAAAAAATGAGATTGACTTCATTATGACTACCAGACGACAACTGTTCAGTGATTTCTCAGTGATCGCGAGGGTGAAAACCGGCAGCGATCACCGAATGGTTAGAGGCACACTGAACCTAAACGTTAAGTTGGAGAGGTCTCGTCTAATGAAGTCAACGCTCCGTCCCCCTCGTGCTCTAATCCAAAGTCCCGAAACCTTTCAGCTCGAGTTACAAAACCGTTTTCAGTGCCTAGAAGACTGCAATGAAGTGGACGATTTGAATGACAAGCTCGTGGAAACTGTCCATGCGGTCGGAGCTAAGTTCTGCAAGACCCGCCGCAGAAGAACACAAAAACTCTCCGATCACACTCTTAATCTCATGGCTGTTAGACGGGAGATGAAGCTACATTCTTCAACAGATTTAACAGCATACACGCAACTGAACAGACAGATCTCCAAATGCATGCGGCGGGACTTACGCAACTTCAATACAGCTCGTATTGAAGAAGCGATCGAGCGGAACCAAGGCTCCAAAGTCTTTGCCAGAGATCTGTCTGCCAGAAAGCGCCAACTGTCAAAGCTGAAGACAGAATGTGGCAGCATCGTTTCCGGGGCACCTGAGATTTTGAGTGAGATTGAGAGGTTCTATGGGCAGCTGTACACGTCATCGTTGGAGCCGCACGCAAGTGTGAGTAACGATCCAAGAGCGAGTCTTATCCGACATTATTCCGATGATATCCCGGACGTCAGTCTGAGCGAGATTAGAATGGCTCTCCAGCACCTTAAAAACGGCAAGGCCCAGGCGAGGATGGAAATACAGCGGAGCTTCTGAAAGCGGGTGGAAAACCGGTACTTGAAGTCCTTCAGAAGCTCTTTAATTCCGTCCTCCATGGTGGCATTACACCGGAGGCGTGGAGCAGAAGTGCGGTGGTCTTGTTCTTCAAGAAAGGCGACAACGCTTTCTTGAAGAACTACAGACCGATTTCCCTTCTGAGCCGCGTCTACGTGCTGTTTTCGAGAGTCATTACGAACCGTCTCGCGCGCAGACTTGACGACTTCCAGCCTCCCGAACAAGCCGGTTTCCGAAAAGGCTTTAGCACCAAAGACCACATACATACCCTTCGGCAAATTGTACAGAAGTCCGAGGAGTACAATTTGCCACTATGTCTGGCGTATGTGGACTATGAGAAAGCCTTTGATTCCGTCGAAATTTGGGCGGTGCTGCAGTGCCTTCAGCGATGCCAAGTTGACTGTCGGTATATCGAAGTGTTGAAGTGCTTGTACAGCAGGGCTACGATGGCTTTCCGAGTACAGAACCAGAGCACGAAACCTATCCAATTGCAGAGAGGTGTAAGACAGGGTGACGTCATATCCCCGAAACTCTTTACCGCTGCATTGGAAGATGTTTTCAAGCTTCTGGACTGGAAAGGATACGGTATCAACATCAATGGCGAGTACATCACTCACCTTCGATTTGCCGATGATATAGTCCTTATGGCAGAATCGCTGGAGGACCTAAGCACTATGCTCAATGACCTCAATAGTGTTTCCCAACGGATAGGTCTTAAGATGAACATGGACAAAACAAAGATCATGTTTAATGTCCATGTCACACCTATGCAGGTAGTTGTTGGGAACACTAAGCTCGAAGTTGTTGACGAGTATGTTTACCTGGGACAAATAGTCCGACTAGGTAAGTCCAACTTCGACCGAGAGGTCAATCGACGGATTCAACTCGGTTGGGCAGCGTTCGGGAAATTACGGCACATCTTCTTGTCAGGTATACCTCAAAACTTGAAAACGAGACTGTACACCCAGTGCGTGTTGCCAGTGATGACATACGGAACTGAGACGTGGTCCTTCACTGCTGGCCGGATGAGGAAGCTCAAGGTCGCTCAGCGAGCTATGGAGAGGGCTATGCTCGGAGTTTCTCTGCGTGATAAACTCAAAAATGAGGATATCCGCAGTAGAACTAGAGTGACCGACATAGCCCAACGGATTAGTAAGCTGAAGTGGCAATGGGCCGGCCATATAGCTCGAAGAACCGACAACCGATGGGGAAGAAAGGTTCTCGAGTGGCAGCCTCGTACCGGCAGGCGAAGTGTAGGGCGTCCCCCCACTAGATGGAGTGACGACCTGGTAAGATATGCAGGAAGTCGATGGATGCAGGTGGCTCAGGACCGTGCTTTGTGGCATTCTTTGGGGGAGGCCTATGTTCAGCAGTGGACTTGTGAAGGGCTGTAATGATGATGATAATGATGAACAAAACCATGTTGGTTGGTCGACAATAGAGTTTTTATGTGATTAGAAATGAGCTCAGACACAACAGATTCGAAAAGTTTTGCGCAGCAAGACATTGTACTCATAGGTCTGTAGTTTTTGCAAAAATCTCAATTTCCTTTTTTGAAAGTTTCTGAACTGAGTGATTGGTTAAAAAGTATACAGAGTGGCAAACTGATTTAATTTACGCGGATCGTGATGAAAAAATGAGGTATTGTATCTGGCCCAGCTCCCTTGGAAGAATAAATGCTTTTAATAACATTATTGAGTTTAAAGCTTTAGACGAAGGAAAAAATGGTCAACCTTATCAAAAGCCTTAGAGAAGTCGGTATAGATAGAATCTACCTGAGCATTTTTAGCAAAAGCACAACATAAATACTTTTAATATTGTAGTAAGTTGGTAATTGTAGATTTATTTTTAACAAAACCATGTTGGTTGGTTGACAATAGAGTTTTTATGTGTTTAGAAATGAGCTCAGACACAACAGATTCGAAAAGTTTTGCGCAGCAAGACATTGTACTCATAGGTCTGTAGTTTTTGCAAAAATCTCAATTTCCTTTTTTGAAAGTTTCTGAACTGAGTGATTGGTTAAAAAGTATACAGAGTGGCAAACTGATTTAATTTACGCGGATCGTGATGAAAAAATGAGGTATTGTATCTGGCCCAGCTCCCTTGGAAGAATAAATGCTTTTAATAACATTATTGAGTTTCTCAACAGTAACTGAGGCAGAAGCTAGGGTACTGTTGACAGGGACATCGATAGAGTTAGTGGAGGAGTCATGTGTACTATTAGTTTCAAAAACTCAACCAAAATAAATTGAAAATAGGTCACATATGCCCTTATGATCAGAAGCTTCCAGGTTGTTATATTTCATCGAATGTGGTATCGAGTTACTCTCTTTACGTTTGCTGTTATTACGTAGTAGAGCCATGTTGCAAATATATTAGTAGTATAGTTGTAGCACGAATGGGTCCGCTTGACCGGGGAAAGAC